GCCCTAAGGAACAGATTCGTACCGTGACCTCATGCTACAGTCAGCCGCGTATGCAAGTTGGATTGGAATCTTCGCTGCACCAAGCCGACTTTCCTACGGGTTGCTGGTTTACTACGAGATCAAGGTGTTCTGTTTGCTGCTGCCAAAGTACGGCAGCATAGCTTTGAGAAGAAAGTTGCAGCCGCGCTTTACTTTTTACAAAATCAATTAGAAATCCTACACGTTATCATAGATGGCCTTGTACTTTACCTTTGACTTGCACTGGTGGGGTTTCACCTCGAGCCCCGAGACTAGATACGTTTCTGCGGAGACTAACATCCAGGCGGCGGCAAGCTGTTTCGCGCTTCTGGTGCCCTGAAAACGATGCTTGAGCGTGTCAAAACGAGCCCGCTGCAGAGCATCAGCTGCTGCAGTCGTCCACGCAAAGGAGGGTTGCTTCGTAGCGATAGACGTTTCACCAGTATTGGTCTTTTTCTTCTGATTCCGTTTGAGTAGTGGCCGGTGTCGCATACACAGTCTGGGAAAGAGCAACATCAGAGGCAGGTATGTCCAAACTGGCAGCAGTCAGCACGAGGTCGCCACTGGCTGACGGGAACGGAGGCGCAGCTCTCGGGGCAGCTTGGTCCATCTTGCCACGCGTCCGGTGTCTCGGGCACAGTGTTCTCGGCCGACGAAGAAACAGCAAAGTAAAGCGAGTCGTTGCAGTTGCACTGTGATTGGCTAATGTTACCTAGATGCGCTCTGTTGTAGCGAACAAGCTGGAGATGGAGATGCACCAACTCCCTGCACCAACTCCCTGCACCAACTCCCTGCAGATATCCATCTCCAGCTGCGTAGCGAACACGCTCTAAGAGTTAGACACATACACGCCGCCCTCCAGGAAGTCCCTGGTATTGAGCATCGTGAACAAGTCGGAAAAACCGGTGGGCTTCAATGGAGCGATGGGGCAGAAGCAGCCATCCTGTTGCAGTCGGCGCACGTTCCGACAACAGGTAGGAGCAGTCGCTACCAGTGAGTCGACCAAGTGCAGTTTACAGTAGTTCTCTTCAACCTAAATTGATAGGCATCGTCTTCGAACCCGGAAAAGCTTCGAGCTGATATCAGTGGCACTAAAGTTGTTGTGGACAGCTTCAAGAGTACCTCTACGAAGCTCTGGTTCCCGAGAAGTGCGACGTCAAGCTTTCCTTGAACCTTCATCTGACATCCCCTTCTTTCTTCGTTGTACCGCTTCAGACCGTCTCGAAATGATCGATGATTTCGTTATGGCCTACCGTAACATGTGTTGAGTCAACACGTGCGCGTTATACAGATGTAGTGTTGTGTGACTCACGAGATGATCGAGACAGTTTTTACTTTTGAAACATGGTCAATGGCCGACTCA